TGTTGGGTTATTCGGTGAAGGCTTTAGAGCTGTGGGCTTTAAGCCTGGTCGGCTAAAGGGAAGAAACATGGGGGGCCGGTTTTAGTTATTAATTAAAGGGCCCATTAGTTGTTTCTTGTTTAGCAAGTTGTTAACCCTAGTTTATATCTTATAAATACCCAATCATGTAACTATAATCTGTGAGCACCTAATAAAAGATAAACCCTAGCTGCAACCCGTGGAGTAGTTTACTGACCGAACCACGTTAAATCTCGTGTTCTTATTTTCTGCTATTTGTGTCTATGCGAGTGTGTTTGTTCGCTTCCGCTTGACCGCCTCTGATCTCTGATTCCTAACAAAGGATTCGGCAACAAAAGATAATCAAAATATTAAATATAGGCATGTAAATGTTAAACATAATACTCTAATTAAATAGAATAAAACAATAGAATGATGTACTTAATTAGAATAAAAAGTAAAACGGAATACTTGTAATATCAAACATTCAAACCTATCATGTTTGGAAAAATAAATAAATAACTAATAGACATAGTTTTTGAAATTCTCAACTAAGAACATCACTACTCCAAAAATCCAAACTTTGCTTGTGAAGAATTGTAGCTGTCAAAAACCAGACCGAAAAAATTGTACCTAGACCCAAATACTCTACAAGTCTACAAAGAAAATTGTATAATCTAATGGAACCAAACCCAAATAATTGTGGCTGTCAAAAACAAAGGAAAGAAAAGAAATTGAACCTCAACTACACAATCGGATCGGGTAATCAGATCGGGTTTGCTAGAAGGTTTTGAGTTCGCCGGCAATCAGATCGATCGGGTAAAATCGTATCACTCCTCATTTATCCCTCATAAATCAGATCGGGTAAATCGGATCCCTCCTCAGATGCGGCCGTTTAATTTGCTAGAAGGTTTGGAGTTTGCCGCGTTCTTTTTGCCGCACCGTACCAGGAGCGTCCTCAATTTCGGGATCCGTCCCTGTCGAAGACGTTTCCGGTTCACCAATTGCCATCCCCGCTGGCGATTCCGCCCCCGCTTCGATTCCGGCGCGCGAGACGGCACAAAACTGCCGAACCCGTGCAACCTAGCTTGCAGGTGGAGGGGATGAGCAGACCAGGCCCATGAGACCAAAATCCTACTTGGACTGTCTAGCAGCCTTCTCCATCCTTCTTGAGCCTCTTTCGTGCTGGGCTTCACAACATCCTTTCTAATAGGCCTGATCGTCCAACCCAGTTTATATATCATTAGTCCCCCACTTTCCGAGCCGAGAGGAACTCGAGGTGAAGTGAAAGTTTAAATCTACTAGCCAAGCGCAAGTCCCTTGCAACGAACAACCTTTCTCCCCGATCAGGGACGACACCTACCCCCGCACGACTGGTGAAAGTCAAACTCAAGTTCGTGTCAAAATGATTAAGTATAAATTTCTGGGCGAGAATTCATGTGGTGAGGATGCTCGGCCGTGGGAGGTCCAAGAGGATGGTGGAGCGCCTGACGGTTGTTGAATGTTTTTTCCACAGAGAAAATTCACATGGGGAATCGTGAATGTCAATCACAATGGCAGCCACCCTCTTTGCCCATGGTGTGCCACATCACGCAGTGAGGACCGTAGCAATGATGATGTTCTATATTCCAACCCTACTCGAAAACCTTTCCTATAAATAGATCCATGCCTTATCCTTCTTTTCCACTTCAACTTTCAAAGTTCAAACCTGTTGTTGATCTGCCAAAATTCTCTCAGGTCCTTTGAGTACCACCAATGTTCTTGTATCCTCCGCCTTTCACAGTTGTTAGCCTTCCTTTAACTTCATGCCCAGTCCGCCCTTGAATCCTCTTTCCGCTCTCAGATTTTGTATTTTGTTGTTATCCCTTCCAGACAATGTCTAAGTCCCTTTTTGGCAGTTCAATGCATGTATCCAGCACTGGGTCCAGCTCGGCCTCTAGTAGCACTCCCTCGGCCGGAAATGTCGAGCCTCTGCCTGTTGCAAGCTCGTCCCGTAGGACCAAGGCTCTAACTAAAAAACAAAGAAGCACTAGCCCCACACCCATTAAGAAACATTTTAGGAAGCCGTGGAAGCTAGTGGATCCGGCGCAAAAGGTTATCACCGAGTTTGAAATCACCTAAGTCCTTAGTTGCTATTCCCTTACTACAAATGAGGACTTCAAGGAGGCCACAAACTATGTCCCTCAGAAACACCTAAGGTTTCTCTGTATAGATAATCACCGAGGTGTTCTTTTGAGGTGCCACATCACACCTCGCATCTTGCACCTCATAGCTGTCGTGATGCATTTGGTCGTGAAGGCGACCAAGCTCCATGTGGGGAGTGCAACTTGGGACGGCTTCCTACATGTGCTCGACGGGCCTTCTCATTGGTACCCCTCAACAAGAGCACCACTAGATGGATCATGGCTCCGAATGTAGTATTGGAATAAGGAGATGAAGCAAGGGAATATTAAAACCTTTGATTTAGGTTGCAAAATTCGAGCATAAGTCTCACATTTTGAAGAAGATGGCTATTTATACATATACCCTCGACAAGAGCACCACTTGATGGATCATGGATACTAGAGTACTATTAAAATAAGGAGATGAAGTAATGGAACAGTAAAATCTTTGATTAAGGATTCATAATTGGGGCGTAGGTCACCCTCTGTGAAGAAGAGGGGTATTTACACATATCCCCTATTCGTGCAAGTAAACATAGCTACGTCATCATGTGACCTCACTACGGGGTGTTGAGCCAAGCCCAACACGGGTGGCCCAATGTGGGTTTTAGGAGACTAAGGCCAATGGTCATTTGGCCAAAGGCATGGACAGACCAAGCCCATGAGGCCAAAATCTTTCTTGTACTGTCTGGTAGCCATCTCCTTATTGGATCTCCTTCGAGCTAGGCTTCAGAACCTCCTTTCCTATAGGCCTGGGTGGCCCAATTCATCCCTCATTATCCATGCTCACAAAAGCAGCAACAGAAAATGACACTTGAATATACTACAACAATAACAACAAACCCAGTGAAATCCCTCAAAGTGGGTTGTAGGAAGGGTAAGCATATGCAAACCTGACCCTTAAGTTTAATGACTAAAATGGATCAAATGAAGAGGTGAGAGTTTCCACCTTTCCAATACTTGGGGTTCATGTTTCATCTCAGTAGTGATTGTAGGAATAAGAGGTTCTGGGACCCATTCATCGCACAGCTCATCTATTTCCTAAATACAAAAGTAAGAACATACATCAGATTGCATGATACACACAATTAAAGTTGTACTGATTTTATGAAGATAGACATATTTTGAAATTTAAAATGTTGATCCTTGCCAGATATAATAATAATCAACTTTGTTCATTTACTGTTGTGGGATTCAACTGGGTTGTTGTTGTTGTTGTTGTTTGTTCATTTAGGAATAAATATAAATTAGTAAATGTGTTCTGTCTAACAACTTAAAGTCTTAAACTTTCAGTTAAGATGGAACCAATACTCGCAATCTTGAAATGAATTACTTTGATATAAGTGGAAGTTTTAAATCCATGAGGTGACGCAAAACACAGTAAAATGTAACATAATATAAGTCAATGGAATTCTATGAATCTTTATATAGAAGTATGCCTGCATGCATCCATCAATCAATAACTAAAAGGCTGCAAATCTTAGTGTAAACACACATTTCTCTAGGGACCATGTTGTATTATAGAACAAACCTTCGTTGTCAATGGTCTTTTGGGTGGTTTGTAACTCTTCTGGGAGAGAAGGAAAAAGATGACCACCAAGAGAAGTCCCTCTAGAAAAAGATGCCCTGCAATAAAAATGATAGAAATGACATTTCACTGCGAACAACATGGCTTGAGGAATAAAAAAAGCTCTAAGACTAAAAAAACAAATACCCCCAACAGGCACTCCAAAAAGAACAGCTCCTGAAAATGGAGCCTCAAATGTCGATGACATCCAATCTGATGCATGTTTCAACCTATCCCTGATAAGTGACATGGCTGTATCCATTATCATACAGTACTATTTCAATTTTTGAGCCTCAGGAGAAATGAGCTTGTTCCTTACAATCACTTATCTCATTCTTCCACACTGCGATATTCGGCATATATGTATTAGATTCACAAAATTTTATGGTTTGCAGAATGAAATTGAACTACAAGATGAAACAAAATGAGAATATGAAACATAGAAGTATAAACCCCAGAAATGCATAGGCATCCACAATTCCATATTTTAATAATAGACACATGAGCCCTATTGCATTGTTCAATAATTCTTCATCTCCAATTAAATGCAAGTAAAAAAACATTTTCTACTCCTCATACACCAGTACATGAAGTAACCACCTAATTAATGAATTCGACCAAGTGGTTAGGGACTGTTTACACATAAGTTCATACAGCAGGTGTCCAAGCACACAATGTCTTAAAGAACACAAATTTGGTGGGCACATAAATGCTTGGTGGGACAGGGCAGGGGGTTTATATATGAAAACTTTACATTGGAAATTTGAAAAAATTTGACAGGCTTTCAAACGGAAGATTATGGACTACTGTGCTTTCCAGCACAATGTCCTGATTGTTTTTTATTAACCTCTTCATAGTTGTCACTATGTACAGCGTTATCCACATCAAGCAACTTAATCACCTCTTTGCACATCAGCATTGTGTTTGGTTCAAGGAACTAAGATGGAAAAGAAAAGAATTGGTGTTCCCTCACTTTCCTCACCAAAATGGGAGGAATTATATTTTCCTTCCTCTTAGTTCATTTTGCCTTCTCATTTTCTATTCCCTCCACTTTTCTTTTCATCTCCTCTGTAACCAAACAAAAAAAATTCTTTTGCATTTCATTTTCTTTTCTTTTCCTCCCAAATTCCTAATTCCTTTAACCAAACATACTGTAAGCATTTCTAATTGGGGCTTATAATCTAAAAAAAGCATATGATTATGTTTTATGAAATATATTCTTTTAAAGTTTTTCATATGTATGAATTGAGTTTTTTGTTATTAAACACAAAAAAATAGTCCCTACATTCGGAATTAGTTGTCCACATTCTAAAAACTCCCACTTTCAGGAAATAATTTTAAAATGTCAAACAAGTCCTTCAAATGCATTTGTCACTCATTCATGTCAGCAATGCTGATACCTTGTCTATAGGAATTTTTATAAAATTCATCATAATTTCTTAACTGAATATGGTAAGTGAACAAATAATTACGGATAAAAAAGTTGACAACTAAATACCACTTATTTCAATCAAACCTCTTTATCCAGACCTTTTTCTCTAAACAACTTCTTCGAAATAATAAACAAGTGCCACCCTAGTTTCTTGGTGTTTTTCCAATTGGAATTTTTAGAGTTAATAAGATGCCAACATAATGGAGGAAGAGTACTTTGATGCCTCTCTACAAGAGGAATGGTGATGTTCATGACTTCCACGACTTTAAACTCATAAGTCATACTAAGAAACTATTCCACCATTGAGCCGATATACCTTCTTCAACTGATGTTGAAATATAGTACAGACAAACAGAGAAAAAAGGGCTTGCATATGGTATTTATTGATTTGGAAAAAGTGTGTGATAGATTGCCTTGAGGCATATTCTGGTGGGTGTTGACAAAGAAAGAATTCTAATGAGTATGTAACCCTTGTGAAGGATGTTTATGATGGAGTAAACACAAATGCAAGCAGTACAGGAATGATAGAGGACTCCTTACTAAGGAGTACATCAAAGGTCAGTATTAGGCCTATTACTTTTTGCAATTACTATTGAACTATGGATATACAAGATGATTTGCTTTGGTGTATCTTGAACTAATTATGCTCACTATGTAATTAAGAGGATGTTAGCACCAAGATGCTGTCAATAATTTCTCAAAATATGTTACAATGACCCAAGTTTGACATCATGCATAACAAACATCTGTGAATTGTTTACAGAGACAGTGCAAACATCTGTAAAAAACAGAATTGCATTGTATGTGAACAATTTTTAGACGTCATCCATAATTGAGAGTAGCTTTTTCCTAATAAGAAATTTTTGTATTAAGGGTTGTTACACCAAAACAATTACTCTGTTTTTGGGAAAAAAAACGCTATTGTCACTGCTTCAATTATTTGGGGCACTCACCTCACCTTTTAATTTCCAAAAATACTCTTTGTCTATTCTAATCTTCCTTTGTCCCCAAAAGAACTTGACGTTGCGATTTACGATGCTTGACAAAATGTACCTTTAATTAAATTTATTTCAATGTGTCCTAAATTTAGAATTTAAATTTATAATTATATATATTTAGAAATTACATAAAATTCTACTACAAAGTAAGAGGCAACTTGACTATGTTATTTTGACACATGATTAATGAAAATATGTAATGAAAAAGGATAAAGATTAACCATCTAAATTGTAAATGTAATGATTTTTTTGGGGGGAGTAATTTTTTACAACACACACTCATAAGTAATAATTAGGTTCTTACCTTGTGCTTCGCACATGCTCATGTCATCTTACACGGTATATTATGTTATAATTATGAAATTATAAAAATATGTTTAAAAATACTGATGTTTCCAAATTATATCCAAAAATAAAACTAAAATGTAAAATGTTTGAAATGTATAACTATATATTTGAAATTATAAAAACGTGTTTAAAAATACTGATGTTTTCAACTATTATTGTATCAAATAATTATAATTGAAAAAATACTTGATGAAAAAACAACTAGCTGCATGGAATTATTAATCAAATTGAAAAATCAACTATCAACTATCAACATAAGCTCTTAATCCTTTAATAAATACTCCGTACTAAATAATAACCTATCCAAAAATCAATAATCAATTACGAAATTTCAAAAGAAAAAAAACAGGATTCCAGCTCTGAAATCACAAATGAAAAACTCATTTTACATTTTACACTACAAAACAAATACAAATTAAACAAAAAAATATCAAATATATAGTAAATCAAAACATCAAACGCAAAATAAACCAAATGCATAGCAAAATAAATCAAATATCTCAGATTTAAGATTAACGTTAATTACTCACCTCTTTGAATGATATTTTGGGCGAAATAGGGACTTAGGGTCGGAATCAGATGGAAATCGATGGGGAACTGGAGCCGTTGCTCTGTGGGCGTTGGCGGAGGTCGGATGGTGGCGCAGTGCCGCACTGGTGGTGGTGGTGGCGGCGGCGTGGCGCGAGCCGCTGCTGTCGGAATTGGAAGAAGTGGCTGGTGGCGGACTGGCGGTCGAACGGCCAGGAGTCTTCAGTTCTTCCGGAGTTCTGCTGGCTTTTTCTTTTTTCGTTTTGGATAACGCGTTTTCACATTATTTTATGCTTTACTAGTAGGGTCCGTTTGGCATATGGAATTGACGGAATTGGAATTGAATAGGAATTGAAATTCCATGAGATTCAATTCCATAGAATTGAATTCTGTCAATTCCAATTCATTTTTTACATTATCAATTCGAAATCCACATAATTTTTGTGCTACCAAATACCAGAATTGGAATTGAAGTCCTCAATTCCAATTCCATGGTTTGAATTCCATGTACCAAACGGGGCCGTATGAAATTTCATTTTCATATAATTCAAAAGAAATTATTAATATATAACTTTTTAATGATTTTTACTTTTGATTTTCTCATATCTTTTTTTCAAATTTTAAAATTTTAACCTTTTTTTAAAAAAATTTTGAATTTTTTTAACTTTTATTTTTATTTTTTTACATATATTATAAAATATCCTTCAAGAAAAATGATTTAAAAAATAGTTTTTCTAAAATCCAAGTTCAAATGCTAACTCCCCTTGGCTTTTCGGATTTTGGCATTTTGGATAAAAAAGCCACGTGAAAAAGCCATTAGCCAAACAATGTTTTTGGCCTTTTGGCGGTTCGATAAGTCAAATAAGGCAAAGTCAGTCAAAGATGTCAAAAGCTATCTAAAAATTTGTTTTTCAAACACAGTCTTGGTTTAGAGGATTGGAGCATTTTGCATGGCTCATCCATTAACCAGCGCTATTTACAAATGATTGGGATATAATGACCCAATTTCTTAGAGTACTTTGGGATCTCGGTGGAATCTTTCTTGTCTTTTTTATTTTCTATCTTTTGTTGTTATATTTGTTGCACTAATATGATTCTCTTGGCATTGGGGTTTATTGTAAGGTGTTTTTTTTACTTTAGAGCCTTTCTTATGTTTTTAATAAACCTTTTTCTTTAAAAAAAGTTTCTATGTCGCACATTTCATATTTATGTTTTTATCCACAAGATCATCAAACTTGTCTATGGTATTATTCGTCATATATATGACTTTTCATTAATGTCATGACTCATGACATCCGTACACGATTTTTTTAAACACAAATGATGAAATACATAACACTAATCAAAGAATAATTATTTTGTGATACGTTTTAAAAATATTTAAATATTTCAAGGGAGTAATCGATCTTACATCATTTTTTTGAATAAAGTAAAATCATTGAGAATGCCAAATGATCTTTGTGTAAACATATTATTTTGATAATATAGTTTATAAAAGCTTTGGTATAATACTACCTCCGTCCCAGAGTATTTTTCCACTTTCATTTTTACATACCATCCAATACACTTCTTTAATCTATTTTATCTTTTAATTTGTATATTAAAAATTTGTAAAAATTATATATTAATGATGGGTATATCTTTATACCCAACCCGGATAACCGAAAGGGACAGGTCAAAATATGACCGGTCACTTTCATCAGTCACCAAATGATGTTAACTCTTCGATTGGGACGGGTCAAAAATTGACCGGTCACTTCCACTAAAAAAGTGACCGGTCACATTTTGGGTGATAGCCAAAATGTCACCTAATGTTGCGAAGAACCCAAGAAGACCAAAATGACCGGTCAACTTTTGAGAAAAGGTGACCGGTCATATCATCTTACTTTACAAAGATTGATCCAGTATTTCAGGTATGATTAACTACGTCAAAGATCGAGGGACCACCCCTCCGTTCGCCCATCATGAGACAAACAGTGAAAGAGATGTTTGTCACCTTGTAGGGCTGATTGGATTGAGAATATCCATGTTATAGTCCTTGATTGAACAGTGCTTCTTGGTTGTATTAGTAGCAAGTCTATGATTGAACAGTGATTAGATTATGTACAGTGACCTTCCTCATGGTTTCCTATTTTGTCCATGGGTGAACAGGGGAAGGTCACAAATCCTCCTCTATAAATATGATGATTTTGGATAGAGGAGGGGTTCATTCTTTCTCTCACTAAAAACTAGTACACTCTTGAGACAGAGTAAGAAATATATTTCGGACTGAGGAGATTTACCCGGTCCAGGTCATACTCTGTGTTCTTGTTGTGTGTTTTATATTACGGGTCAAGTGTCCAGGTTAAACCCGGTTAACCCGCCCAGCTATATTTACACCATCAAATATTTATGCACAGAGGTAGTATAACCTAAAGAACTAACCATTTGTGATGTCACTCATGATATTTCTTTGAAGATGAAATCTTTGTGTTTGTAATATACTTAACGGGCCGTGAATCTGAGAAGAGCAAAAATGCATCGTATTTTGTACATCTCTACCTGTAATAATATTATTATTCATAAAAAAATTCAATCTTATTAAAAAATAAAATTTTAAAAAAAACGAATGATTAACTTTTCAACATATTTAAAGTTTTAATAGGCATTTAAATTGTTTTTAAAAATAAAAAAAAGTATTGACTTATCAATCCAACATTAAAACACAGAAAAATGCTAGGAATACACCAAATGTGTATCCTATTTGTCCCCCACCCCCTCCTTGTCCACAAAAAAGGCAAGAAATTCAAAAAAAATAAATAAATAAAAATAAAATAAAAATAGGTAATAGAGAAGTGATGGTGTACATTTGGGGTAACCCTAACATTACTCTAAAACATATAAGCCCACACAGATTTGGTTAGTTCTCCCGGCTCATTACAAAAACTAACCTATTATTTATATTTTGCATTACATTTATCCTGAGATGAAATTTTTACCGTGCATCGCACAGGTTAGAATTAGTACACTTCCAATTAGGCAAAACTAAAACATATTCTAAAATGAAATATTAATTTCTCTAAAAAATACAGCGGCTAAGACCTGAGGGGTACGACCACTTTCCAGTGCTCCATCTGATCCACCACTCTTCCTGCTCGTTTTTTGCTTACTCTCGAATCTAGTTCTTAGGGAAACAACCCCTGTGAGTCAGCCAGGTAAAATATCTCTTTATTGACCATCTTCTCTGTAAAATTTCTTTCCCAAATCAGGTTAGAACTCTTAACTTTTTCCCTAGTACGATGAGTTTGGATTAATTTTCTCACAAGGGTTTAATCAGCCAATCAACTTTCTGATTCAATAATCCATAATATTTTACTTTGTTTCTTGTGTGAATCCATTTTGTTTTTAAAGTTTGGTGAAATTTGTTCATCAATTGGGTTTGAAGTTTGACTCTTTGGCACCATTGATGGCTATTCCTTAGGGATGAATGCTTTTCCTCTATTTGTTTTAGCTACCTAAATATACTTTATATTTATAAAATTACTCGTTTTCCTTAAGTTTTTTTTGCAGTTTTTCCTAGTGAATGATTTATTTTTAGTGTTATATGTTTTTTCTGTAACTCTATACATTTGCTTTCCTTTATGTTGTCATGAAAAAGTTTTGTGAAAATTCAATCCAAAAAAGTCTGCATTAACCAATCAAACCGAAGTGATACTGGTATCTATAATGGGGACATTACAAGCAGCCATGAACAATTATGAATCTTTAGTTCTCCTCCTATTACTGCTTGGAATGTCTTCCAACCTTCGGACACCTATTAAATTGTAATCTTGAAATGCCTCAAAGTCTGTGAAGTATAAGGAATTGTACATAAGGAACATATTATATATCATGAAAATCAACCTAATATCACTCCGCCAAAATGCAACTATTATTTATGTTTTTTTAACCAAACTCATAATCTAAATTCACCAAATAGCAATCGTAGTACAATAACTTCCCCTCTATCAGACTACCACGCTTACTTAAGTTCATGATCAGATCTAGACCCCATTTAATATAATAAAAAATGGTATCTTCAGTGTTCATCTTTTTATTGTTGGTGACTTTATTCCTTTCCATCCGTATTGTATAGCAGCAACACAGTGGCCAATTAGCTAGAGTTTTGTCTCTCCTTGATTTTGATCTTCATAATAGCCTCTCCTACACCTTTAAAAGCAACTGCAGTAATCTGCACCTTCAAGTTCTCAAACACTAACTTGTAAACCTGTTTAGCAAAGCAATACTTCCACAAAATATGATCCAAGTTTTCAAGAACATGTTGGTACATACAGCATTGAGTATATATCTTTAAAAATCTGCTTTGCATATCTTTAGTCTGCAATCTATTCTTCATAACAGACCAGCAGTAATTTAGAACTTTAGTGTCTGTTGATCACAGGCACTGTGTTTATCTGTGTTTGCTTGGTGTACAAATGGGTACTCCATTTTGGTGTACCCCCCTAGCATGCCCCTTTCTTTATCACCTCATTCCTGATTGTAATTTATGTTGGCACAAAGCATGGGTTTCGGGTTCGGCCGCTTTGCTAGCTCCATCACGCGCTGCCTTCCTTTCTTCAGTACTACTGTTCGATCTCCCCTCTCCTGCTATCCGGGGGGCCTGGTGTCGTCGGACCCTTAGCTCAAATCCTCCGCAGGTTTTATTTTACCTTTTTTTGATTAAATATTTCAACTTCTTTGTATTTGTTTAAATGTCAATTACTATTTGTGAAATTTTGAATTTTGGTTAGAAGGGCGATCGATGGACGACGTGCTTATGATGCTAACAATTTCGGTGAACCATGCCCAGGTATTTTTCTGACTAATAAAATGAATTCTATGTTTATTATACTTCTGTTCGGATTTAAACTTTGGCCTTGATTTGTAGAAAATATACGTTGTATTTTGATAGAAGTACAAGAGTAAATTCTCAAAATTGTACTCAATAATTATGTGTTTGCCTAATTAATTCTAAAATTAATTAGGCAAAGGATTACTGCCTTGTATAAAGGTTTACACACAAGAAGCAAAATAGAGAGTAAAATAGAAATATATCTAAGGCTGCATCATTCTGGTTTAAAGATGCAAAGAAGAAATAGGTCTGATTCAAGCACCTTTTTTTATTGAAATGATTGATCAATTTTGATTTGTTCAAAATTGATTGTGATTCCATTTAAAAGTAGCGAAGAAGTATATTTATCAGAAATAGACAAGTCATTGATCGATTTGAAGTATGAATCCTAAACCCTAAACCAAAACAAAGGTGCATTGAACTGACTTAAACAATAACAATCCAATGATGCAGTGTTGAATTCTTCTAGCTCGGAATTGGCTGTATTTAATGCATGATATGGGCGGTGATGAAGTTAGTGGGTGGCGAGGAAGGTAGTGGGCAGAAACAGCGAGAAACTCAAGAAGGCAGCAACAAAGTGAGAAGCACAGTAAACAAACAGTGGTGAACGGCAAAAGAGCTCACCTAACAGAGTCGTAACATCGTAGCCGCTTATATTAATATTAATAGGCTAAATGTAATGAATTAAAATTTAAAAAGTACTCCATACTATTCGTATACTTCTAACATATTACTTTTAATACTCCCTCCGTCCATTTATATTTTAAGAGATATAATTGCTCAAAAATTTTACTCGAAAAACCGGTTAGTTAAAAAATAATGGAGTATGTTGTATAATTATCTTGATACATAATTGTTAAATTTAAATAAGCACACCTCTTTTGCAAAGAGTAATTTCAAAGATTAATTACAAAGCAAGAACAAAAGAATAGAGAAAAGCTCAGCTAGAAACCTCTTGTTAGCTGAGCTCACCTCATACTCATTTGTCTTCGGTTGGGTCGGTTAGATTTTCTCATTACAACAAGCAGGTCTAAAAAATCAATATATTGTTTCATTTTTTTAATATAGGTGAATATGGGCTACCTGATATCTACGTATCCACGTGACTCCCATTGTCATTTGAAACTCAAGAATTCAAATTTTGAAACTGAAATACAAGAATTGAAATGAAGTGCTAGTTTCCAAACACTACCATACTGTTTCCATTTTTTTTTATTACAGGTGACTTTGGGCTACCTGATGATGTTCACGTATCTGAGACAAAATGTTCACCATGCTTAGAACTTTGGAAGGCAGACATCTGCCCTAAGCCTAAGACTGAGCATGACATTTTTGTCTATTTTCGCCCGATCAGTCAAAATGACCGTGAATATTTCGTTGCATATGATTCCCTTGAAGAGGATGGCCCCATCTCACCCAAGTATCGCATATATGCTCCCCCTTTTCCTCCAAAAACTTACTCCTTCACTGGGTGTACCTGTGATGGTCTCCTTCATTTTCAGGATAGAGAGTCAGGTCATGTTCTTTGGAACCCAACAACGAGTGAGTATAAGATCCTTCCCAATCCCTTTCTGGAACTCCCTCCCGGCCTTGAACATTCGTCTGTAGCGAATGGGATGTGGTCCGACCCTAGATTTGAAAATTACAAACTGCTGCATCTTGTACGGTCTCGGTTCAAAGACGACCCAGGGATGCTCGTTAACGAGAGTTACCACATTGACTTGTATTCACTCAAAACCAATTCCTGGAGGAGAATACCATGCACTGAGTTTGCCTCTGTTGAAAGGAATAATTGTACTTGCATATCTGGGGTTTTTTATGCTGCAGCATTTCAAAAGGAGGCTTGTACGTGTTGTAGCGGTGTTATCCTTTCCTTCGACTTTTCTATAGAAACTTTGTCCACTTTACCCTTACCTAACCATAACGGCAACCGTTTTCTTCTTCTGGAGTATAAAGGGTTGTTAAGTGCTCTTGAATGCTGGGTTGATGATGATGATGAGGATGATGAGTCGTTTTATCCACCTTGTGATTTTGAACTTTGGATCATGAGTGATGGATCGTGGACAAAAGAATCTATTTTTCATACTCGTTGTATTCCGGAGCCATCACATTTTTCTCCAGATGGGAAGCTATTGTATTTTGTAAACTTTACTGTTGGTTTTGAGCTAGTGGCGTTTGATCGTGCCATTGGAAAGTTGAAGCATCTTGGTGTCAATGACCCCCTGGGTTATCCAATGATGATTCCGTTCCTTGAGAGCTTTGTTCAACTCAATGGAATTTCATGCATGCAGGAGGTAAAATCCATTTTGATTGTGTTATGCTTATTAGTGTGTGTGTTTAAATGGATAATGGTTAGAATATATGGAGGAGTAATGTGTATTATATATATGATATAACTTGAGCAGAGGTATGAGCACGAAAAAGAAGAGAAGAAATAGATGAAGATGTGACTGAAGCAAAAGGACCGCTGATTCTAGTATAGCTTGTTATCTTTAGAATTTTTTTTTTCAATTTGTGGGGGGGGGGGGGATTATTTTCA